TATGCTCCCACAACCCCAAACACCCCCCCCCACACACCTGGGGCTGGGGAAATGGTGGGGTTGAAAGCCCACACAACTGAAAGTTGCTAAGGTGGAGAAACACTGAAACAGAGCATTGCCTCAAGACTATGATAAAGAGCAGAAGCCAATAGCATATTGTTCCAGAAAGTCAACCCAAAGAGCCTCATAGCAGTATGAGCATGTCTGTGCTTTTCAAAGTAGCTTTCTAGTCTGGAATCTTCCCAGCTGTAGAGACCACAAATCATTGCTTGCCCCTTTATATTCCAAAGGATATAAATCTGAACTGAGTACCAATGAGATACCAGAGATCACATGATATAACTCTCAAGCTGAATGTGAATCGTAAGATTATTATTATAACTATTATATTTATATCCCATCTTTTTTATATATAACCCAGGCAGCAAACATACCTATACTCCCGCCTCCTATTTTCCCCACAACAACAATCCTGTGAGGTGGGTTGGGCAGAGAGAGAGTGACTGGCTCCAAGTCACCCAGCTGGTTTTTCATGCCTAAGGGAGGACTAGAACTCAGAGTCTCCCGATTTGTAGGCCAGCACCTTAAACAATGCACCAAACCGCCATTATTATTGTTGTTATTGTTATTATTATTAGGCATTTGCGAGTCTGTGGGCCCAGAGAGAAATTACTCTTAGTGCTTCTTTCCAGATTGCCAACAGCTGAAAGGAAATGCTAAGATTTCAATATCTTAGTAAGTTTAATAGATATAATAAATATAATAAATACTGTCTAGATAAAAAACTTGTAGGCACTCATCAAAATCCTCCGATCCAGGCTCAACTTTTAGAAGAAATCTCTACTTTCAAAGCAAGCCTCAGGCCCCATTTCTGGTTGGTCTCTTTGGCATACATAGTGCATCACTATGTCTGATTCAGAGCTGTGGAGAATGGTGATCTTTATGTAAAATAGGTGGCCATCACATGCATGCAGCTTGCAAAGAGGAAGACATGTAATATTACGAGGATGATTTTTTTATGATGCAATTAGTATTCAGCTGAGATACAACACATACTAAAAAAAATCATGATAGCATCACTAAATGCAGAGGCTAGGCAAAACTATCTGTTCAATTACCATGACGGAATCAAAATCTTAAAGCACTGTTAGCAACCAGCAGTGTATTATTATTATTATTATTATTATTGTTATTATTATTATTATTGTTATTGTTATTGTTATTGTTATTATTATTATTACCATTATTAGCCAAAAAGAAGTACTGATGGTTACACCATTGCCAGATAAATAAATGAAAATTATGGGAGCTAATAATTGTGAAATTACAGGTCATAATAACTTAGTTGTTACAGACTGTTTTTTCAGGTATCTACAGATTTCAAATACAGTCACAGTCTTGCAAGACCTACTGCCACTAATTGCTTTAAAAATATACATAATGGTTTGATAGGGATAGTGCCATGAACTTGTTACAGTTAATGATCCCTAAGTCACAAGGAAACCTTCAGTCATATTACAGCCTGCTCTTCCCCATCATCCACAAGCCAATGGAGAAGCAGAAAGAGAAACTGAAACTGCACCTTGAAATCTACCACAGGAAGATTGATGTTTATGTTTATTAAGTTATAGCAGAACTCCCATCTATGATCAGCGCTACTAATAGGTCAATGATCTTGCAAACAAACTTGAACCCTCACTGATCTGATTTCAAGGACATGTACATCAAATGCAGAAGAGACTACAAATTCCACTGATAACCATCATACAGTTCAGGCTTTCCTAGAACTGCATATTAAATTAGGTATTCAGAAGAGATGTTCAGACGAACAGGAACAACATCTGACACCTCAATCCTGTATTATTAAACTACTGGTATAGAGCTATTTGGATCCGAAGTGGGAAAGGTGTTTATGATCCAGTGTGAACTTGGTGTTCCTCCTTTAAGAAGTTGCACCTTTTCATAGCCTCCACACTAGCTGCATGAGCCCAAGAAAATACATGTTTGAGTTACAGTGACCTTGTGGACCCTATCAGCATCTCTTTTGCTGAAGTGCACTTTTTCCTGGTCTTGTATGGCTACTTTGAGGAATTAGGAAGTGCTGCTAACATAGCCACACCAGATCTGAAGTACCTTTCCCACTTTGGACCCAAACAGCTCCACATCAGAAATTAAGACTAACAGAAACACCATGAAGAATGGAAGATATTTGGAATTCCAGAGAAGTAGCAGTCCTCGCATTCTGAAAGAGAAAAAATCAGAAACAAGGTCAAGCAAAATCAACTTGTCAGAAGACCTAAACTGGAACTGAGTGAGTACCACCAAAGGAGTGTAACATCTAATCACCATTGCTGAACAGGTACTATTAGAGATGTATCATCTCAGAGTATGGAAATTAAAAATGTTGATATTCTTTATTATGTACTTACAGATTCCTATAGTTTATATGAAATGGGGAAATACAGTGAAATTTGATATTAATGAAAAGGAATAGAACTGAAGCAGGACTTATCTAGGACTATGGCCTTCTACTAGGAAAATCATATTAAGGATTATGTTTTATCTATTTTGTACTGTAATTGAACAAAGTTATTGTTCAACTGAAATTTTTGGGCCCTTTTATAAAAAAAAATAGAGTCACAATTAACTTGAAAGCGTAACTTGGAATGTGTAAATAGTGTTGCTCAGCTACTGAAGACTTAGATTTGTGTTAATTGAAAAAACAAAAAGAGGTATAACCAGATCATCATGTGAGACATTACTTCAGTTACTTCCAGCACCTTGGATGTGTTATCTGCATCATATCTCCAGGGGGTGGGCTTTTCTATTACAGGGTTTCCTAACCAGGAATTCCCAGAGTGTTGAACATCAGTTTCCAGATTTCCCAGCCTGCACGGACTTCACTTTTACATACTTAAAATTAATAATACACTTTCAGATGCCTCTTCATATTCATAATAAACCAGATGGGAAGTAACTAGCTCAGTGGCAAAGCACATACTGGTATGAAAAAGGCTCCAGGTTCAATCCTCAATATTTCCAGGAATAATCTCTGTCCTGAAGAACTGGAGAACAACTGTCAGTACAGAAGTATCAAACCAGATGACCCTAATCCTAATGAATGAAAAGACAGCATTCTTTCCACTGACTCTGTTCTAACCGCAGGGAAGCCTGTCCTGTATCTCTAGAGCATGCTCAATAAAAACATCCGTATTAGCCAACAGTTAGACACTGTGAAAAGTCCTAGAAAGGCCCAATATACTACATTTCCCTTGAGTCAGCAAGATACAAAGTTTTATGCTTAATCAAGGGCATAAAACTTAGGATCTCATTTCAGAAGAGATAAACTTATTCATGGAAATTTTCTTCGTCTCCGTTTCTTCTCCAGGAGTATCTGCCACTTCCATCAATGAGATACTTCAACCAGCCTTTAGAACAGACATGGGAAATTTGAAGCCCATAGGTCCGGTCCAGTCCAATTATTTCCATCAGGCCCCAAAGAAAGATAAAAGAGGCTTCTTCTGTCTAGACTTTCATCCCATGAGTCCTCCTCTTCCTGATCCAGGGGAAAAGTTTCAGATAAAGAAGCTTCGCATTTCCTGATCCTCTTCTTTCAAAGCATGGACAACAGTAAGTTTGGGCTGGTGGGAATACCATGGACAGAGTGTAGCCAGTGACTGCATATTCTGAGAGAGGAATGCTCAGAAAAGGCTATTGATACAAAGTGAGAGATCCCATTGTACCACAACAAATCTTGGCCACAACTAATATTAGCCACACTTGAGCCCAAGTTAGCATTAAATTCAGCAATTTAGATAACTTTATGGAATTATTACATCCAAATGCAGAAAAGAAATATTAGATCTTTAGCATGCTGATCAGGTATTCCTGAAACTATCTACATTGGTGGTTTCTGCATCCAAAGTCAGTGATTATGTGCCATGTTTATTTGGAAAGATTACCTTTTCTGGCTATTGGGGGGCAGCCATTGAGATCTTCTTGTTCTGTTACATTGTGCTCAGAACTGTCATGAGAATAGTCTTTCATGGTGCTATAGAAGACGGGGGTATTGTAGTGTGTGGCAGTTTCAGTTCTCTTCTGCTCGCACTTGCATAACTTTCTGAAGGCAGCTCTAAATTTTTGGGACATCAAGTTATAAATGACTGGATTGATAGCACTGTTCAGATAGATGCAGAGTCTACAGAAGAGGACAAACCAGCTGTTCAGGTAAGGAGGGTCCATGAAGGAGTTGACCACCACTAAGGTACGGTATGGCATCCACAGAAGGGCAAAAAGGATCACCACCACAGCCAGCATCTTGGTCACCTTTGAGTGACAAAAAGACAAAAAAAAAGTGATTTTACATCTTCTCTAGCAGTTTCAAGATTTTCTTATTATAGTAGAGAGAACACACACACACACATATAAATGGACACATGAATAAAACATAAATAAAGTAGCTTCAATTTTAAAAATGACTAGAAATAGTGACTGAACAACATTCGGCTACCATTCTGGAGATCAATCATCTAAAAGGGGGACAAAATTATTTTCTTCCAAACTGTCATAGCTATTGTCTAGAAGCAGTAATGTTAGATCTGCCCACCAGACCTAACGAAAACAGCATGTACAGAAGCAGGTGTGAAGCATTCGATTTCACCTGCTGAACAAAGGCATACATGTTCTTGCGTAGGTGAGTACTAAAAATTTCCTCCAATAATTTGGAGGTCAGAATACTGGGTCTGGCAATGGGGAAAGCTCATCTATGGGATGGATATAAAATGTTAACAAAAATTGGCATTGGAGAATGGTCTTCCGGTCAAACTGTTCCAGGCAAGAATGGACTCGTGCCTAGGTTTCTCTTGAAATCATTATCAAAGATCTGCTGCTTCAGTTCCAGTGAGGCCCTCTCAAGGATGAGCATGATTTTATATCTAAATCTATGCCATACTGATATGTAATTATCCTGTAAGGTCAGGAAAGCTAGGGAGCTATTGATAAAGACTAATTTGTCAAAAATTGAGGTGGCAGAGCCAAATGCAAGACTCTGTAGAGATTATTCCAGTCTCCAGGTACAATAAAGTATTGGAAAGATACCTAGAGACTCACATCAAAGTTCTTAAAAAGGTACTGCACTACTGCTAGAAAGTTTGAATCATGGGGATTACAAAACTGCTTAGTGTTTAACAGATGGTTAATTACATTTCATCTGAAGATCTTCATTGCAGCAGGTGTATAATTGCTACCATTAAAGTTTCAAAATGGCATTTGCAAATCTGTGGGCCCAGAGAGAAATTACTCTTAGTGCTTCTTTCCAGATTGCCAACAACTGAAAGGAAATGCAAAAGTATTTCAATATCTTAATATGTTTAATAGAGAACCCATTAATTTTCCAAGAGTGAAGTTGGATGACTGGATGAGTGATGGTAGATGACTTTTTGAGAAAAATGCTACTTTTGTTTTATCATAATTAATGGTAAGTCATTTCTCTCCTCAATAAAAGGCAAAGGCTCGGGGGCTCCACCTGAGGCTCACTTGAGTTATAGGCAGGATAGCTGCATCAATATAAAGCAGAACTAAAATAGGTTGTTGAGTAAATTTGGGGGGAGGGACTAAAATTCAAGAAGTTGTGTCTTTCCAACACTTTATTGTACCTGGAGATTGCAATAATCTCTACAGAAGCTTGTATGTGGCTCTTTTTTTTTTTTAATCTGCGCTCAGTCGTTACCGACTCTGCAGTGACTGCTTGGACGA